CCGTATGGTATATTGTCAACCATGTATGTTTGGTATACTGCCCACCATGTTTGGTATATTGCCTAACATGTCTAGTATACTGCCCATCATGTTTGGTATACTGCCCACCATGTTTGGTATACTGCCCACCATGTTTGGTATATTGCCTAACATGTTTGGTATACTGCCCACCATGTTTGGTATACTGCCCACCATGTTTGGTATACTGCTAGCCATGTTTGGTATACTGCTAGCCATGTTTGGTATACTGCCCACCATGTTTGGTATACTATCAACCATGTTTGGTATACTGCCCACCATGTTTGGTATACTGCCCACCATGTTTGGTATAATGCCCACCATGTTTGGTATATTGCCTAACATGGTTGGTATACTGCCCACCATGTTTGGTATAATGCCCACCATGTTTGGTATATTGCCTAACATGTTTTGTATACTGCCCACCATGTTTGGTATACTGCCCACAATGTTTGGTATATTGCCTAACATGTTTTGTATACTGCCCACCATGTTTGGTATACTGCTAGCCATCTTTGGTATACTGCTAGCCATGTTTGGTATACTGCCCCCCATGTTTGGTATACTATCAACCATGTTTGGTATCCTGCCCACCATGTTTGGTATACTGCCCACAATGTTTGGTATATTGCCTAACATGTTTAGTATACTGCCCACCATGTTTGGTATACTATCAACCATGTTTGGTATCCTGCCCACCATGTTTGGTATACTGCCAACCATGTTTGGTATACTGTGTACAATCTGTGGTATACTGTCAGCTGTCTATGTGTTCTGTAAACCCTATGTTATACTGTCGACCATGTATGGTATAATGTGTACAAGCTGTGGTATACTGTCAGCTGTCTGTGTGTTCTGTTAACCGTATTGTATACTGTTAACCATGTATGGTATAATGTGTACAAACCGTGGTATACTGTCAGCTGTCTATGTGTTCTGTAAACCCTATGGTATACTGTCGACCATGTATGGTATAATGTGTACAACCTGTGGTATACTGTCAGCCGTCTGTGTGTTCTGTTAACCCTATGGTATACTGTTAACCATGTATGGTATCATGTGTACAATCTGTGGTATACTGTCAGCCGTCTGTGTGTTCTGTAAACCCTATGGTATACTGTTAACCATGTATGGTATAATGTGTACAAACCGTGGTATACTGTCAGCTGTCTATGTGTTCTGTAAACCCTATGGTATACTGCCGACCATGTATGGTATAATGTGTACAATATGTGGTATACTGCCAACCATGTATGGTATAATGTGTACCTTTTGTGGTATACTTTCAGCCGTCTGTGTGTTCTGTTAACCCTATGGTATACTGCCGACCATGTATGGTATAATGTGTACAATCTGTGGTATACTGCCAACCATGTATGGTATAATGTGTACAATCTGTGATATACTGCCAACCATGTATGGTATAATGTGTACAATCTGTGGTATACTGTCAGCCGTCTGTGTGTTCTGTTAACCGTATGGTATACTGCCAGCCATATATGGTATAATGTGTACAATCTGTGGTATACTGTCAGCCGTCTGTGTGTTCTGTTAATCGTATGGTATACTACCGACCCTGTATGGTAATATGTGTACAATCTGTGGTATACTGCCAACCATGTTTGGTATACTGTGTACAATCTGTGGTATACTGTCAGTCGTCTGTGTGTTCTGTAAACCCTATGGTATACTGTTAACCATGTATGGTATAATGTGTACAATCTGTGGTATACTGCCAACCATGTTTGGTATACTGTGTACAATCTGTGGTATACTGTCAGTCGTCTGTGTGTTCTGTAAACCCTATGGTATACTGTTAACCATGTATGGTATAATGTGTACAATCTGCGGTTTACTGTCAGCTGTCTGTGTGTTCTGTTAACCATATGGTATATTGTGTATAATCTGTGGTATACAGTCAGCCGTCCGTGTGTTCTGTTAATCGTATGGTATATTGTCAACCATAAATGGTATAATGTGTACAATCTGTGGTATACTGTCAGCCGTCTGTGTGTTCTGTTAATCGTATGGTATATTGTCAACCATGTATGGTATAATGTGTACAATCTGTGGTATACTGTCAGCTGTCTGTGTGTTCTGTAAACCCTATGGTATACCGCCAGTCATGTATGGTATAATGTGTACAATCTGTGGTATACTGTCAGCTGTCTGTGTGTTGTGTAAACCCTATGGTATACCGCCAGTCATGTATGGTATAATATGTACAATCTGTGGTATACTGTCAGCTGTCTGCGTGTTCTGTTAACCGTATGGTATACTGCCGACCATGTATGGTATCCTATGGTATACTGTTAACTATGTATGGTATAATGTGTCCAATCTGTGGTATACTGTCTGCTGTCTGTGTGTTCTGTTAACCGTATGGTATATTGTCAACCATGTATGGTATAATGTGTACAATCTGTGGTATACTTTCAGCCGTCTGTGTGTTCTGTTAACCGTATGGTATACTGCCGACCATGTATGGTATATTGTGTACAATCTGTGGTATACTGCCGACCATGTATGGTATAATGTGTACAATCTGTGGTTTACTGTCAGCTGTCTGTGTGTTCTGTTAACCATATGGTATATTGTCAACCATATATGGTATAATGTGTACAATATGTGGTATACTGTCAGCTGTCTGCGTGTTCTGTTAACCGTATGGTATATTGTCAACATACTGTCAGCCGTCTGTGTGTTCTGTAAACCCTATGGTATACTGTCAACCATGTATGGTATACTGTGTACAATCCGTGGTAAACTGTCAGCTGTCTGTGTGTTCTGTTAACCATATGGCATATTGTCAACCATGTATGGTATAATGTGTATAATCTGTGGTATACTGTCAGCCGTCTGTGTGTTCTGTTGACCCTATGGTATACTGCCGACCATGTATGGTATAATGTGTACAATCTGTGGTATACTGCCGACCATGTATGGTATACTGTGTACAATCTGTGGTATACTGTCAGCTGTCTATGTGTTCTGTTAACCCTATGGTATACTGTCAACCATGTATGGTATAATGTGCACAATCTGTGGTAAACTGTCAGCCGTCTGTGTGTTCTGTTAACCGTATGGTATACCGCCAGCCATGTATGGTATAATGTGTACAATCTGTGGTATACTGCCGTCCATGTATGGTATACTGTGTACAATCTGTGGTATACTGTCTGCTGTCTGTGTGTTCTGTTAACCGTATGGTATACCGCCAGCCATGTATGGTATAATGTGTACAATCTGTGGTATACTGTCTGCTGTCTGTGTGTTCTGTTAACCGTATGGTATACTGCCATGTACAATCTGTGGTATACTGCCAACCATGTATGGTATACTGTGTCCAATCTGTGGTAAACTGTCAGCTGTCTGTGGGTTCTGTCAACCGTATGGTATACTGTCAACTATGTATGGTATGTGTGTACAGTTAGCCATATTTGATATGCTGTCAACTATCGAATACCTTGTCTTTATAGTTTGCAACCCTTATACCCATCGCACAAGCATATAAGACTCTTTTAGCCCCAGGGTGTAGGATAGGGAAATTACACCCTCGGGATTTTCAAATTTGGCCAACCCCTCGGCTACCAGGGGTGTAGGATATGTAAATTCCACCCGAGGATTTTCAAATTTTGTAAAACCCGAGGCTGATTGTGATATATTTGTGAGTTTTAGGTACATGTAAGAAAGCATCGTGGGGTTTAGGTACATGTTAGATATAGCTTAAAATGGTTTAGATACATTGGGTAAAGGCAAGTAGATGACTTCGTGGGTTTTAGGTCCATGTAAGTGAATTGCTTCGCTAGTTTAAGATGCACTATGATGTAGTATATTGCTTTGTCGGTTTTAGATATAGTATACAGATAAACTGGATTTTAATCATAAATAACGGAAGTAATTTGCTTCGTGGGTTTTCGATATATTGTTTCACATATCAAATTAATTGTTCCTGATAGACACAGTAGAACTTGGATGAATATAATTAGAAATAAAAATGAACATTTTTATAAAAACAGTCATCTCATTAAGTTAAGAGACCAATTTATTTGATAAGGATATACAGCTCTCTGATTGAATTATAAAAATAATGGTTGCTGCATTACGCCAATTTCAGAAAAATAGAATATTCAATCATAAAGAGTCGTTTAAAAAAGGGGAAAAGCAATTAAAAGAGCCTTGTAAGTCGTCATACAAAAGGCATAATGCATTAGCAAGGAAACAAATAATTATGTAAGGTCTATACTGTATGAATAGTTGACCAATTTGAGAGTTAGTGACAATCTTATGACAGGCCTGCAGTGACTACTACAGAGGGTAGTTTTAGATGGTATCGCGATACATATGTCAACATGATTAATCCATACCGGAATGGCTGTCGTGGAGTCTTCAGAAGAATTTGAGCACGAGCGTACTATTTGATTTCGTATACGCATGCTCAATGCTAATCTATCAGATGAAGACAAATTAGCATAAACAAGCAACAGGTCAAACGCCGTATCAACACATCTATTTTAACAAACACATGTAAAATCATTCCAAGATCTAAAACACAGTCATGTTGGAGTCAGGAGACAATGCAAATATGACATGGCGTAGCTGAAGAAAAGAAGCTGTAGAAAATGAAAGATGGTATTAAAATTAAGTCAACAGAAACATTTAACAAATGACAATAAGTCTCCGCAAACATGATTGTCCTCCTTACTCTTCCCAGGCTCCATGGGTACTCCTGAGATAATGTCCCCTGACTTCGTCAGTGATTAATTCCTGGCAGTGGTCGGCCCCCCTCATAAACAGCTCCATGAGATGCATTGAAAGGCTTCCATATTGCGTAGCTTTTCAATTAAATACGAGTAGTTTTAAAGAAAATGGACCTCCCTTTGACCTGGATTGTGTGTGTAGACAGCACTGCCAATGCCAAGAGTCTGGGAATCATTTACATCACAAGCAAGATGACAGGAATAAAAACAATCGGTACCTACCTTCGTCCACCATGTTGACGACATGACTGCGATTTGTCTGGATTGACGTTCGATCGATGTCGCCGAGGTTGGCGCAACGGACACTGACTGGAATCGGGGCCGATGTTTTGCAGGCTCACAATCACACAAACCCACTTTTCTCCTAAATACTGTAATGTATGCACCAGTCAGTTACAGCGTGTTGACACACGAGCGGGCCCGCCGTCCAGTGTTCAGTCTATGCGCAGATCTATGTTCGATGTACGGGCCTTACTGTGACCCTGTGCGGGATAATCATAAAATCAATGTGACACCTAATTACATTTCTATCTCATTGCAGTGGATGGAGTGTAACAGCTTGCTGTAACTAGCCAACCTTTAAATCTACAACAACATTTACCGTAATGTAAAGGCGCATAAAAACACGTCAGTTCGCCTGTAAGAATATGTACAGACTTGGCACCAGTTTACCTTTTATTGTCTGTAGGTATGTGTCAACATCAAGTGTCAAAAAACCTAGTGTTAATTTTCATGTTGATATATGTACCCATATATTGTCAGTTTACATGTAAGTATATGTGTACACACCTAGCGTCAGTTTATCTGTAAGTGTGTGTACACATCTAGTGTCAGTTTACCTGTAAGTATGTGCACACACCTAGTGTCAGTTTATCTGTTAGTATGTGTATACACCTAGTGTCAGTTTATCTGTTAGTATGTGTATACACCTAGTGTCAGTTTACCTGTAAGTATGTGTACACATCTAGTGTCAGTGTACATGTAAGTACGTGTACACACCTAGTGTCAGTTTACCTGAAAGTATGTGCACCCACCTAGTGTCAGTTTATCTGTTAGTATGTGTACACATCTAGTGTCAGTGTACCTGTTAGTATGTGTACACATCTAGTGTCAGTGTACCTGTAAGTACGTGTACACATCTAGTGTCAGTTTACCTGTTAGTATGTGTACCCATCTAGTGTCAGTTTATCTGTAAGTATGTGTACACATCTAGTGTCAGTGTACATGTAAGTACGTGTACACACCTAGTGTCAGTGTACCTGAAAGTATGTGCACACACCTAGTGTCAGTTTACCTGTAAGTATGTGTACACATCTAGTGTCAGTTTTCCTGTTAGTATGTGTTCACACCTAGTGTCAGTTTACCTCTTAGTATGTGTATACACCTAGTGTCAGTTTACCTGTTAGTATCTGTACACATCTAGTGTCAGTTTATCTGTAAGTATGTGTACACATCTAGTGTCAGTTTATCTGTTAGTATGTGTATACACCTCGTGTCAGTTTATCTGTTAGTATGTGTACACATCTAGTGTCAGTGTACATGTAAGTACGTGTACACACCTAGTGTCAGTTTACCTGAAAGCATGTGCACACACCTAGTGTCAGTTTATCTGTTAGTATGTGTATACACCTAGTGTCAGTTTACCTGTAAGTATGTGTACACATCTAGTGTCAGTGTACCTGTAAGTACGTGTACGCACCTAGTGTCAGTTTACCTGAAAGTATGTGCACCCACCTAGTGTCAGTTTATCTGTTAGTATGTGTACACATCTAGTGTCAGTGTACCTGTTAGTATGTGTACACATCTAGTGTCAGTGTACCTGTAAGTACGTGTACACACCTAGTGTCAGTTTACCTGAAAGTATGTGCACACACCTAGTGTCAGTTTATCTGTTAGTATGAGTACACACCTAGTG